AAATAGTTTAAAAAGAAATTGAATTATGTTTGAACTTAGTATCAGACACAATGATGAATGTTTTAATAAGATAGTTTTAATAGACACAACACTGTATTAACATTTGCAAGTGTGATGAAATGCTTGTCCATCAAGAACTAAAATTTAGCCTTTTTATTTGATAAAATACAGCTGCAGCCAGCTTCAGTCATCTATAAACATTGACTGTTGTTTTCCCAAAGAACCATTTTAGAATTGTGAATTTTAAACGTGCTCCCAAATCACAATTCACTGGACATACTTAACCTGTGAGACGAGAACAGTAAGGAGTTTATTCTTTTTAGAAGATACCATATTTCCAAAAAAATAACTTGTACTTATAAAAGGCTTAAAGGGTCAGAGCCAATAACTTGTCTCTATATGGAACAGCTTAGTGTGCAAAGAAATCACTGTTTAAATCCTATTACAGATTATGAAGCCATTGGAATGATTAAGTGTTTGAGACAATGATGTGCTCATTTGAACTCTGTTGGACAAAAAATGACACTACCTTAGATTCCAACTGCATTAAAATCCTATATAATAAAAGGCTAATATGCAAACTGTCCCCACGAGCGGGACCAACCAAGAACTAGAGGTGTGCTGACCACCAGGGGGCGGCATGGAACATGATGAGCTTTGGCAATGCAGCACTGCCAGCAGGTAGCAGTGGAAGCGCTGCCAGGCCCCAATGGGCCCTGATGAGTGCAGGACCGCAGTGGGATGGTGCAGCAGGTGAGCGGGTGGTGCCAGGCCAAGGTGGGTGCAAGCAGGGGCCCCAATCGCCCTGCCAGTCACCCCACAGATTGGCCCTGATTGCCGGCCAGGCCTAGGGAACCTACCTGTGCCCGAATTTCGTGTACCGGGTCTCTAGTATACACATAAAGAAGTGCTCACATTTTGTTAATATTCTCTAGATGGTAGATATAGATAGTTCTTTATATTTGCACTCTCCAATATTTAGGTAGTGTATTATTCGTCAGTTTTATATCTTCAGAAAGACTTCAGTTCAATTTTCAGTTTATTTAAGATGTTAGAAGACCATACCTTCACATTTGTCACAAATCACATTCTTTTGTAGAGCTAGTTTTCTCGTTGCACCATTATATAAGTCTTCTAAGGTTACAGAGAGCTGATGCACAACGTTTTTACCTAGAACAAAATAATGCTCATTAAAAATCTAAGATGTACATACCTTGTGTTCAATGCACCATCAAAATGACAAATAATAAAAGATAAGGCTCACAAGGTACATTTGTTAAGTAACTTGTATTACATACATAGAATTTGTTAAGTACATATTATATACAGTTTAGCCACATTACCCACAAACTGCAATAAATTTCAGATAAGAAAAATTGGGTGAGATTAAGTAATTTGCCTAAGAATGTAGTTGTGACTATCTTACAAATTATGGCAATCAAAAACATGAACAGTAAAATCAGTTGAGAACCAATGCCATTTATAGAGGCACATTTCATAATAATTATTTTAAACTACATTTCTGTCCCAATATATTCTTTGAATCTTTCACTTACTATGATATTGAGCAACATGGCCTATTACTTCATCCAAAAATTCTTCAGCACACTAAGTTCCAAGTTCCAACCAATCAAGATTGGCTGGGGAACCTGATGCATTTATTCAACCTCCACAGAATATCAATTCCTACTTCTACATGAAGCAGGAATAGCACATTTATTGTTTGACTAGCACTAGTTTAACGACTAGGTTTCTCATATCCTTTATCATAGTGCTGTCCAAAAGAACTTGCAGCAGTGATAGGAATTTTTATATTTGTGCTATCCCACACAGTAGCCACTAGTCATATGTGGCTACTGCAGATGAAAACTGAATTTTTGTCTGTTTTTAATGGATCTAAATTTATTGTGGACAGTGGCTACAAAGGAGTGCCATAACTCATTTCAGAATAGGAAGTGGAAGGTTAGAGATCATATGAGGACACTGAGGTTACAGAAATGAAGTCACCTGTCAATGGTTAATATATTCCCAGCTAGTAATTCTTTCACAAAGACTTCATCCACCACAAAACAGTACTGCCTTATGCCCAAGTGAAAACAAGTTCTCAAACTCTTATCTGCACAATATGCCTGTTGTGAACATTTTTAGTTTCCAATGAAGTGTGAAGCACCATTAACTATATCCTTCTGCTCCTAGCTTCATCTTTGGGTTCTGTATCACAAATATAGCCCCATACAGTTGGTTCCAGCACATTGAAAGCTGCCTTTCTTACTTTAAAGTTTTGAGAGTATAAGGGAAAAAAGCTTATTAAATTTGATCAGGCAAGTATTTTTGGTGTCCCACACAGAGGCCTTTCATTGATCTAAATCACATAGAAGAGTTTGCCAGTCAATTCATTATTAAAAATATAAGTATAAAAACATATCCCTTTCCTTTCAGGAAAAACTAAGTAAACCATTTCTAGTCTTTCTGAATTTTAAAAAGCTCACAGTGGAATTTAATGGCTTCCCTATTCCTTCTAAAATGGACTCTACCCATTGGCCACTATTTATGTAAACTATACTGGGAACAAATGAGATTGACTCTGACCTGAACATTGTTTTCCTATGAAGAATATTTCTACAACCAGGAAACGGCATTTCTGATAAATGTTAGGGGCACATATATAGATATAATAAAGCTGAAGCAAAATTAACAGATAGCAGGCTATCTGCAAGTAATGAATCTATGCTCTAATCTATGCTCTAATCCTGACTACTGATGCCTTGCTGTATAGCCTGGAGGGAAGTTTAGGTTTCTGAACTTTAACCCACTTTCAACTGAGTGCCTCCCATTAGGTTGGGGGGTGTCAAATAACAGCTTAAAAAAGGGCTTTGAAAATTATGTTCTGATACTTTGTTCCTTTAATTAATGCTTGACAATCTTATTGAAGTTTGTGTCCCAGTGTCAAAGAGCTTTAGAAGCACTCACTTGTTAGCACTTGGTCTAGATAGTTTTAGTTACATCAAATCTTATTTTAAAAAACGATACAAATAGGAATGGCAGTGTAGTTTGCAAAATTGTAACAACATGTAAACCAACATTTAAAATAGACAAGAATTTGCTCTGACCAAGGGGCTACTGTGAATTGCTGCATATAGACTGGATTATTCTTACCTCTCCTTTCTCTCTGCATCCTTCCTCCTCCTCCAAAAAACATATCAAAGATGTCCATGGGGGAACCAAAACCACCACCTGCTCCACCTTCCTTAATTGCTTGTTCTCCTCCTTTGTCATATAATTCCCTTTTCTTTGCATCAGAGAGCACTTCGTAAGCTTGAGAAATCTGTTTAAACTGTTTGAGAAAAGAATAAATCTCACTTTAAAAAAGTATTACAAAGCATAGCTACTATATTAGACATACTCAATTTCAGGTTGTTATGGAACTACCATACACCTGACCAAAAAACCGATTCAAGCTCCGCTTGAGTATGAATATACAACTTGCCTTCTCTCCTTCATTTGGATTCTTGTCAGGGTGGTACTTCAAGGCCAGCTTCCTATAAGCCTTTTTCAGTTCTTCCTGGGTGGCATTGGGTTTGACCCCCAAAACATCATAGTAAGTGGTTTCTTTCACCATTTTTGACAGCCTGAAATTAAAAAACAAAACAATTTTCACTGACTTTCAACTGGTAGCTGTAATTCGTTAAATCATAGATATGGCCTAGAAATCTGTTCTTTGCCAAATCTGATTATAAAAACCCTGCCTTTTCTGACCTGCAGAGGAGGTCACAATTCCTTTGACAATTCAGCAATAAACTCTAACAAATTACAGATAAGCTAATAATTACCAGGGAACAATTCCGAAGCTCCTATAGCAGCTGGCTCCCGTTCTCCCACACCAGAGCCTCCACCCGGTCTGGGTTCTTCCTGCTCCCCGCCCCCAGCAGGGACAGAAGGAACCAAAGGAGCACCAACAGGTTCAGTCCGCTGGGTCCTACATTACCAGGGCCTCTGGTCAAGACAAGACACACACTCCCTAGAAAAAAGACATCTGGGCACCAGCGGCCAGGGAGTGGTGTATGGAACGATGTACGGCGAGCCCCAGTCTGCGTCTCAGTTCCAGGGCCCACAGCGCCTCCACGCCGGCCGCCGAACCCCTCGCTCCCACCGGCCGCGCAGCTCACACGTCGTTAGGTGTCCCCTGCACTGGGCGCTGATGGCGGAGGTTTCCTTCCTCCCCCGCCCCCCTCCCCGCTCACCGGGGAGAGAAGGGGTGGGAGAGGCCAGCCGGCAACAAAGAGGAGGGGAGGCCGAGAAGCGAAACCGCGGCCGCCGCCCGCTCCTCCCGCAGCCCCTCACCCGCAGCTCCTTCTGCGCTTGCGCGCAGGGTCCCCCACCCCCCGGGAGCGCGGGGGCAGGGGCACCGGGAGGAGAGCCCCAGGCGGCAGGGCCCGGAGATCCGGGGCGGGATGGGGAGCAGGAGCAGCTTTGTGGAGGGTCTCGGGCCCACTCCCTACGAGCCGGGGATGGCTCGCCCTCCCCCCCAAAAGGGAATCGTGGGTCTTAGAACCCATACCCCTCCCGCCCACGCGGAGCCAACCGCCTCCCGCCCACGGCTCCGTCCAGCTTCCCGGCGCCGCCGATGGCGCCGGCCTTGGGTCGAGGGGAGGCGCCAGGACTGACACTCACCGGTGAGCGGGCCGAGGCAGGTGTGGAGGAGCTGGAAAGAGCGCGTTCCTGCGCGCAGCTCAGGCAGCCGCCGCTCCTCCACCTCTCACCGAGCGTTCTGGAAAGTTCCGCCCGGCGCGCCGCAGCCGTCGTCTTTTGTAGCCGAGCCTGGACGCGTCACCCGCAGGAAGTCCCGCCCTTCCCGCCGCTGCCACCGCCCCGCGGTTACCCGGGCAACGGCGCGGGGGAGCTCGGGCTGGAGGGGGCTGTGCCGAACAGCCTTGTGGGGTTGGGTTCCTAGTGCTCCTGGAACTTTCTGGAGCCCTTTCTTCCACCGGGTCGGTCCAAGAGGTCGGGATGGTCAGGCGGGGACAGGGATTGCCCAGGAGCGTGGCAGCTCCGCGCCAACTCGGAGTTTCCAAACCGGGGGGGGCGGCCGCCGCCGCCTGCGAGGCCGGGACCGCGGGCGGGTGCCGTGTGCAGAGCGGGTGTCTCGCAGAACAAAGCCCTGCAGCGCTTCCTCCCCGCCGGCGCCTCCTTTGCCTCTTTCGGCGACTCCTACCGGCTTAGTTCTTGAGCGCTGAGGTTCTGGGAACTGCTGAGCAAGCAGCGCTGAGCAGGATGGGCCTGGGCCCCAAGGCAATGTCACAGGCCTTGGATCTTGTTCCTTGTCACACGCACCCCCTGACCTGATCATGCAAACTGCGAGGCTGGAAGAGCGCTTTGCAAGTCCAGGCTCCTGCACACGCGCTGCAGCCTCCTATACGCTGGGCTCAGGCCAGCGCCAAACCAGAAACGTTTGCAATGTCTTTGGGCAAACGGAGGGCCGTGAACTCTTGTCTGGCCGGGTGTTCACTTGGTTGGCTAGCGGGAGACACAGAGTAGCACCAAGAGTGACTGACAGATTGTTTTCTCTGATGTTTTAAGTACCACCAGCCTGTGAACCTGGACCTACAGTCTGCAAAGTGAGTCTCTGGGCTTTCAAATGTTGGGAGGGGGGCATATTAGGAAAAGGGGGCCGTTTTTTCTTATTCATTAACACAACAAACTCAGGAGTACTATCTGGCTCCAAGGAAACTGAAATTGAAAAAAAAGCCGGTTCACATGGCTTAGATTTTAGTAGGCGGCCGTGCAAGTCAACGAACTGTAAGTGAACCCCGATACAGAGGTTAGCAGGAGAGAGGCCCCTGTATATTAATCTGATGGAACAGGGAAAGCTTCCCTGGGAAAGTGGTAGTGGAGCTGAGTTTTGAAGAGAGAAGAGCTTTCGCAGTGAAGGACAGAGGACAAGGGGAAGGTGTGGAAGAATATGGTGTTTGTAGGACATTGCAAGCAATTGGAAGTAGCCAGACCTAAGGGATCTGAAATAGCAGGAGGTGAGGCTTCAGAGCCTGTTTGGGTATATCTTGCTAAACTAAGGATTCTGAACTTTACCCTGGAGGCACCCCCATGTGTATCTCTTCAGCCTTATCTCTTAAATTGTGTGCACCAGTTGCACCGAACTATTTTCAGTTTCCCAAATGCACGTTTTCACCTCTCTGTGCTTTACTCTGGCTGACAAACACCTAATTTTCCCAGTCTTACATGTTACCTTCTCAAATACTACCCCTGGTATAAAGTTTTCTTTTTCTTCTTCTTCTTCTGATCAGTTACTGAAAGTCTAATACTTCCTGGAAGGGCACTAGGGTTTGGTAATATAAAAATCACGCAAGTCATGGCCCCTGTCCTTAAGGAGTTCACCATATAAAGAAGAAGAAGTTGAGGAATATACCCCAACAAGAAAGAGTATATTGAGGTGCTCAGTAGGGAAAATCTGCACCATCTAAGTAAATATCCCAGGTTGAGAGACCAGCAGTTGTGAAAGCATGAACAGTTAAGAGAAAAGAACTACACACACTGTTCATGTGTTACGTAGACATTCTCGTTCTACAGTCCATACTTGGCTTTAAAACGTTAGTGAATCTAACACTGGTTAAGCAAAACACTTCAGTTTAACAAAACACTTCAAGAGTTTCCACAATGCATATTACCATGCCTCGTGTTTCTTAAATATAACCATGTTTAGTGTTTCTTTTTGCCTGAGGGATCCAATTGAAATTCCCACAGCTTTTAGAAAGATGGAGGTATGATACAAACATGAAGATACCTTCTTGAGACCATCAACATAAGGCCATGAAATATGATATTGAAAATACTTAAAAAATCTGCAAGCTCACTAAGTGAGCTTAATTCTTTATTTAGAATAAAGATAAGGGGTATATAAGTTGATTTTTAAAAAAAGGAAAACTACTTATTTGCTTGTATGTGCATAAAATATTTCAGAAAGATACCCCAACACTTGTAATATGGTTGCCTGTGGGAGAGAGCTGGGTATTGGAGAGAGGCAGCTGGGAGGAAGGCATACAGTGTTACCAAATAACCTTTCATGACTTTGGAATATTTAACCCATTTGAATGTAGCACTTATTCGAACATTAAAAAACATCATATGGCCGAGACCGGTTTGGCTCGGTGGATAGAGCCTCGGCCTGCGGACTGAGGGGTCCCGGGTTCGATTCCGGTCAAGGGCATGTGCCTGGGTTGCGGGCATATCCCCAGTGGGAGATGTGCAGGAGGCGGCTGATCGATGTTTCTCTCTCATCGATGTTTCTGACTCTCTATCTCTCTCCCTTCCTCTCTGTAAAAAATCAATAAAATATATTAAAAAAAAAACAAAAAAAAACATCATATGATCTGTTTGTCATTTTTTCCTTCATAGAAATTTATGTCAATGATACTGAAAATATGTACTGATGAATATTCTGGCTTAACTTTTTTAAGGCGTATTCTTATTTACATAAAACAAAAAGAGTAACAATAATTACATGATTTTTTTTTTTTTTTAAGAAATGGGATCATATACATGCTGCTTGTTCCTTGCCCTTTTAATTTATTGTCATCTTTTCATGTTCCGGTAAATAAACCTACCCTATTTTTAACGACTTCATAGAATGTAGGATGCAGGCACTATAATTTAACCATTGTCCTATTGATGAACATTTTGGCAATTGCCGATGTTTTACAAACAGTGTTAAATAGCAAATATCATTTATTGTTGAGAAGTTCTCAAATCCATCTTTGGGCATTAATGCAAGTATTTCTGTAAGACAGACATCTAGAATTGAAATAGTTGAGCCAACGTAAATGCAGATTTTAAATTGTAATAAGTAATTTTCTATAACAGTTTGTATTGCTGCCAGCAGTGTGAGTGGGCCTTGCCAATATGGGGGATTTTATCTTTTTTTAGTCTTTGCTAACCATGGAGATTAGGAAGTGGTATCTACCGTTTCAATTTGAATTTCTTTAATAGTGTGGTTAAGCATCTTTTAAATAGTATTTATCAACTCTTCTTCTGTCAGTGGTCCTTCTTGTTATTTGATCATTTTTCTATAGTGTAACTCCACTATTTTAATGTGATATAATAGCACCTTTATATTAGGGATAGTGTGTGTGCATATATAAATACATGTATGTGTGTGTGTGTGTGTGTGTGTGTAGGTTTTAATTTTTATGTAGATACATTTAAAAAATTTTTTTAATTGATTTATTGGTTGCTTCATGTATGTGTCCTGACCAGGGAATTAAACTCACAACCTTCGCATATCAGGATAATGCTCTTACAACTGAGCTACCCCGCCAGGGCTAAATTTTCTTTTTTTAAAATTTATTGGTTTTGAGAGAGAGAGAGAGAGAGAGGAAGAGAAACATCTATTTGTTGTTCCACTTAGTTATGATTCGTTGGTTGATTCTTGTATGTGCCCTTGATTCTTTTTTTCCCCTCTTGATTCTTGATTGAACCTGAAATCTTGGGTATTGGAACAATGCTCTATCCAGCTTAGCTATGCAATGAGTAGGTTAGATAAGTTGCAACACTTCCTTTTTGGCTTTTGTGTTTCTTCTCCCTTCTTTTCCCCTTCTCCTTTTCCTTTATTTGTTACACATAGAAAGCCTTCACAAATCCATTATAAATATATTCTCCCAGGTTTTCCTCTAGTACTTTTATGGTTCCATTTTTTTACATTAAAAATTTTAATCCACCTGAAATTTATTTTGGTGTAAGGGCTGAGGATTATTTTTAAGTAATTGAGATTTATTTTTGTCCAAATGGAGGGCTAGTTTATCTAACACTATTTTAGTACTTTATTTTTTTTCATGACTAATGTGAAATGCCACTTTTATTGTATACTAAAATACATTTTAATTTCTGGTAGTTTCCCTTATTGCTCCTCCTTTTTACAATTTTCCTGGCACTTTCTAGGATTTTTATTCTTCCAGGTAAACGTAAGAATATTTCTAGAAGATTTCCCCCATTCCCACTGTCATTTTGATTGTGATTATAGAGCTTTAATATATCAGTCAGTTTGGGGAGAATAAAAATGCTTATGGTATTGAATCTTCCTACCCATGAAAAAGGTATATAGTGCATATGACTGTGTGTTCACTTTCTTTATTGTGTTTATGCTTTTTAAAAATTTAGGTCCTGCTTATTTCTTCTTAAAGATGTCATTAGGCATTGTCTTCGTGTTGCTTTCACAAATGGCCTCTTTTCTTACCATTGTATTTTATTTCAGTGCCTGTGCTTGGTGCACTCTCAGTAACCATGTGACCAGGTCACAGATGTCCATGCTGGTAGCTGGAGATGGCTGGAGGCATGGCCGGAGCCAAGTCATAAGGGCTTGAACATTATGTTATTAGTTTGAACTTTACCTTGAGAGCTCTGAAGAGATACTGGAAGACTTTAAGGATGGGGTAACATAACCTCTCACAGCTGATTTTTTTTTTTTTTTAGCTCCTATCAGGCACTGCGCTAAACTCTACAAGTGTCATATTTTAGTCCTCACAACTCTGTTTTACAGATGATTTGATCATATGTACTTTTTAGAGCAGTCATTTGGGTGCTAATGTGAAGGATGGATTCTTAGAAATCTTTTCTGATGAGGATGAGATGAGTAAGTGATAAGGCCAAAACAGGAGAAATGGAAAGGGAGGGAAGTATAAATACAAAGGTGAAGTCTTTAGGTCTTGGTGACTGGATGCAGAGATGAGGGAAAAGGCGTCATCACTGACATCCCCCTTTCTGGACTGAGCAGTAGGATAGTTGCAGATGCCCTTCCTGAGACGGACAACCTATAATAGTGATGGCGAACCTTTTGAACTCAGCGTGTCAGCATTTTGAAAAACCCTAACTTAACTCTGGTGCCGTGTCACATATAGAAATTTTTTGATATTTGCAACCATAGTAAAACAAAGATTTATATTTTTGATATTTATTTTATATATTTAAATGCCATTTAACAAAGAAAAATCAACCCAAAAAATGAGTTCGCGTGTCACCTCTGGCATGCGTGTCATAGGTTCGCCATCACTGAGTCCTAGGAAGAGGAGGAAGAGGAGGCTGTGGTGGGGGCAGAATTGGAAAAGGGGGCAAGAGGAATCCAGTTTGGGATATGTAGAATTACTGCTATCCTTTTTTCTTTAATTTAAAAAAGAAAAACATTTTATTGGCAAATACAAAATGGGAAGTAAATTGTAGTCAAAATGCTATTTTTATGCTTGTATAAATTAAATTTCTTGCAGCATTTAGGTTTTAATCGACTGTGAGGCCTAGTAGGGCTGGAAATTGTTTTCAGTGTCACCAGTTTGTGCTGGTACTCCTCTTAACACTGTGAATGCCCACGGTTTCAGTCTTCTCTATGAGCTGTTCTCCTTCCTTCCAACTCCCAACCCCCAATTGTTATTTTTAAATTAAACTTTTAATTTTAGAGTAGTTTTAGATTTACAGAAATGTTGCAAGGATAGTACAGAGAATTCCCATATATCTGGCGCCCAGTTTTCTGTATTACCAGCATCTTGTGTTAAAGTGATACAGTTGTCACTACTAATCAACCAATTTTGATACATTATTAATAACTAGAGCCTGTTCTTTATTTGAATTTCCTTAGTTTTTACTTATTGTCTCTTTTCTGTCCCTGGACCCTATCCAGGATAGCACATTACTTTTATCTTTTTTCTTTTAATCCTTATCAGAGGATGTGTTTAGAGGGGGGAAGGGGGAGAGAATGAATCATTGATGTAAGACAGAAACATTTATTGGGATCAAACCCACAACCCAGGGACCAGAAATCAAATCCAAAACCTTTTGGTATACAGGATGATGCTCCAAGCAACCGAGCGGGCTGGCCAGGGCCGGATATCACTTCACTTTTGGTCGTCATGTCTCCTTAGGCTCCTCTTGACTGTGACAATTTCTTAGATTTGCCTTGTTTTTGATGACCTTGGCAGTTTTAAGGAGTGCCGGCCAGGTGTTTTGTAGACTGCCCTTCAGTTTGGGTTATCTAGTGTATTTTTCTCATGGTGTGAGTGGGTTTACGGGTTTTAGGGAGGGACAGTACAGAGGTAAAGTGCTAGTTTCATCATGTATCCCAGCTACATGCTATGGACATAACTTATTACTATCGCTGTTGACCTTGATCACCCACCTGGCTGAGGTCATGTTTGTCAGGTTTCTCCATTGTGAAGTTCTTCCTCTGCTCTCTGCTTTTCCATACTATACACTCTAGAAGGAAGTCTTACTTATCTTGATGTCATAGGCTTGAAGGCACAGAGTAGTATTTGCTGAACTGAACTGGGTGGGTCCCTATTATTTTGTCTCACAAAAGTTCTGCCAGATATTTTTTTCTATTTTATCAATAGGAAAATAAAAATTAGAGAATTTGAGTAACTTGCTCAACGTAGCACAGTAAGTAGTCAAATTGGAATTTGAACCCAGTCCTTCTGAATATAAAGCCTGTGGTCTTTGCCTGCACCATCTGGCTTTACAGAGGGTTGTATTTACTTTGGCCATCTTCCCTAAGTACTTATTATGCAAAATTGTCCATAGATAATGTGGTTAGACTCGTTATATGGAAATTTAATTCCTCCTTTCAATTTAAAGTTATACCTTAGAACTCTCGGTCTTGAATTGGGCAGATCTCTGTGCTCAGTATTGCTCGATCCAATTTTAATATAATATCTTCTCTTTAATTCTCTATAGAGTTATGAAGAGTGGGTTACAGCAGGGCCTTCCTGGGAAAGTGGGTACAGTTCAGATGTTACAGTAGTATAGGACTGTTTTTATATTTTGTGAGGCAGTGCAAAATGAAAACGGTGCCCCTTGTTCAGAAATCATTAAGAATTCCAGCTGTAGTGGGTTTTGCTTAGGTGTTAGAGCATCAGTCCTTGGACAGAAGGGTCTCAAGTTCAATTCTGGTCAAGGGTATGTACCTCGGTTGCAGGCTCGATCCCCGGTCCTGGTCCGGGCATGTGCAGGAGGCAATCAATCGATGGGTCTCCCGCACATCGATGTTTCTCTCTCTGTCTCTCTCCCCCTCCCTTCCACTCTCTCTAAAATCAATGGGGAAAAATAATATCCTCGGGTGAGGATTAATAAGAATTCCAATACACTGACAGCAGAGCATTGTACCAAACAGGAGGCCCTTCTAAGCATGAGACCTGTGTGAGTGTACAGGTCACATGTCCATGAAGTTGGCCCTGCAGTAGTAGAAGTAGTAGGTGAAGAGGGCCAACATTAAAGCAGTGGAAGTGGGAATGGAGATTGGAGGGTGGTTACACAGTATATTAAAGAGGTAAATCTATAGGAATTGATTGATGATTAGTTGTGATGAGTGAGTGGGCGGATAAAATATGGAATGTAAAGATTCTGATTGGGTGAGGCCATTCACTGGCACAGGAAATCAAAGAGGACCAGATTGGCCTTGAGGGGAAAATGATGAGTTCAGTTTTAAACATTAACATCCAAGTGTAGATATTCAGGAAGCACTTGGATATATAAGTCGCCATAGAAAAAGAGCTGGGGTATACTCTCCAAAATGATAGTGCTGCTTACTTATTCTGAGGTTGAGGACCAGGATGAAGGGGGATAATTGGTTGAGGACTTCCATCTTTTAAAGAAAGTATTCATGTATTTCTTGTATAACTGAGAAATAACTTTTAAGTGGAAATCAAGTCACAAAGTATTATTGTCTTTGTAAGAGAATTAGAGTCAACCTGAAAGTAAAAGTTTCAAAAGTTTATAGTAATAAGAAAGGCATTTATGATAGAAATAGATTTGCAACCACATATTTACTGTTGCCAATACCACACCACATGTGTCTCAAAATAGACTCTTAGTTAACTTTTTAAACTTTCATTGAGTACCCACAATCAATTGGTTCCTCTACAGGTTGTATAACTGAAAAATTACATTAAACTTTAGTTTTACCTTGTATCTTTATGCTTTTTGATAACTGACATATGAGCATGTCCATATTTTAGTAGTATATTGTATAATGCTTTTTTCTTTTGATTACATTACCTGTGTATTTTTTCCTGGGGGAGGTGATAGGAAAGCCTGAAGATAGAATCCAAAGCTCACATTTGAGTTCTGCCTCTGCCTCTGCCTCTTGTTGGCTGTGTGATCTTGGGAAAATTACCCAGCTTCTCTGAGCATGCATTCCTTATTGTAAATGGAGATGAAGATAACCTTATTAGAGATGTGAAAATTAAATGAGACTATAAATGAAAGTTGTTTGTAAACTCTAAATTTTATAAATTCATACCTTTTTTAGTTTTGCACCCAGGACCTTTCTTAGTGAGCTTCCCACCTCACCTTCTTCCCAGAATCATCTCCTCCTTTCTCAAACTCGTTTTCTCACCATCCCCAGAATGTGCCGTGTACTCTGCTGCCTCCTTAATACTGCTCTGATTCATTTATTTACTCAACAAATGTTTATCGAGCACCTCACTTCCCTCAAGTCTTTGTTTAAATGTTACCTTCTCAGTGAGGTCTACAATGTCTACCCTATTCCAAGTTGCAACCTGCTGCTGCTCAGCACGGCCAGTCCTTCACCTGCTCTCCTTTTCCTCCACTACACTTATGACGTAACACAATATTTACCTATTGTCTCTTCTCTCCACACCCCCTTCCCACTAGAATTTAAATGTCATTTGGGCAGGGATCTTTGTTTTGTTTTATGATGTATCCCAGGCATGTAGAACACTGCCTGGTACAGAGTAGGAACTGAACCAGGGGCATTTATTGAACAAATGAATGAATATGCATTGTGCCAGACTTTTAGCCAGGCTCTGGGTATAGAGTTGTGAAAAGAAGAGCTGGTTTCAGCCCTCATGGAACACCCAGCCTGGCATTATTGTCTGGTGGGTTTTCTGCCGCCTGGGCTGTCCTCCTTTGGGAAACGTCCGAGTGACTAATGGCTGAGTTCAGAGTGGCCTTTCCTCTTAGCGGTGAGCAATTTTCAGATAGTTTTGCTTTTAGGTTAAAAAAAAATTATAATAGAAGGACAGGAAGAGAGTAACGCATTCTATTTAGTTTTTCTAAGTTAAAAGTCAACAATTTTCCCGAATGCAAAGAAGAATACAAGTATTTCCTTTAAAGTGCTGGGCCTTGCAGGTAGCTGAAAGAGGTCATGGGGGTATATCTGGTTTAACTTGTTTTCCCTCCCTCCCTTCCTCCCTCCTTCCTTCCCTCCCTGCCTTCCTTCCTTTTTTTTCTTTCTCTCACCACCCCTCTTCTTTCATCTGAAGGAAGATGGCTGTAAATTTTCATATTATTGAAGAATGAGAGGATGTGCAATAAACATGTTTATTGCTGTGTTTTTGAAAAATTTTGGAATGCTTCATTCATGAGCTCCTGACCTGTTTCTTGAGGTCCTCTCAATGCAGTTTGTCAATAGGAGTTTTTATATTGCTAGAACTCTTTCTTAAGAAAAGAGAAAACAAAAGATTAAATTGAGTATATTTAAAAATAATCTGCTGATCCGGCATACTTAAAACTGTATGTCAGCAACTGTTCTTTCTCTCACTATGTTCTCACATAGGCGACCAGGGAAACTCAACGCAATCCAGGGAAACTCTGTAAGATGGGATGAAGAATTAAGGAAGAACGTTGCTCACAGGTATGCAGCTGAACTAAATGATTTTTAATATTCCTTCCAAATCTGAGACTTTTGATCTAGATAATTTAAATTCCTAAATCCTGTTTGTCCTCATTTATTTGAATAATCCAGTTGATAACATTTTGTGTAGATATATTTTCTAAATAATTATTTTAATTCTGCAGGTATGAATTGTTTTTTAAAAAAAAAAATTTTTATTGATTTTTTACAGAGAGGAAGGGAGAGGGATAGAGAGTTAGAAGCATCGATGAGAGAGAAACATTGATTCAGCTGCCTCCTGCACACTCCCCACTGGGAATGTGCTGCAACCAAGGTACATGCCCTTGACCGGAATCAAACCTGGGACCCTTCAGCCCACAGGCTGACGCTCTATCCACTGAGCCAAACCGGTTAAGGCAGGTATGAATTGTTTTGCCCCATAATCTTTTTGTCAGAAAAAATATTGATAAAGGAAACTCTTGGGACTGTAGCCTCAATTTATTGTAAACAGTTTCTATGATGTCCCATCTACCCATGATATGATATAAAAATCTACTCTGCAAGATTATTTTTAGCATCTTCTTGCACTTGGTAACAACTTAAGTTTGTGTAACAATTGTTACATTGTGAGTAAACTCTAAAACATCCTCAATAAAACAAAGAACAAAAGAAAAACTCAAGTGATGAGCTCTATGTAAAGTCTCTTGTAATGCTCTTGACTGATTTATGAGCCCTTGAGAGTGCTCACATTGACCTGTGGACACATCTCTGTCCTGGTATTTATGTAAATAGGTATATACATTATAAACACTGATGGTGATACCTTCTCCCAGAAAGGATTCATAGCCATTTCCAAAGGTACAAGAAAACCCCCCAAAGCAAAACTCACTCACATACACTCCAACATGCCATAAATTAGAGCAGGGGTCCTCAAACTACGACCCGCGGGTCACATGCAAATACAAATATTGTATTTGTTCCCGTTTTGGTTTTTTACTTCAAAATAAGATATGTGCAGTGTGCATAGGAATTTGTTCATAGTTTTTTTTTTATTTTTTTTATTTTTTTATTATTAGTTAAGGTATTACAAATGTGTCCACATCCCCCCCACATAGTTTTTTTTTAAACTATAGTCCGGCCCTCCAACAGTCTGAGGGACAGTGAACTGGCCCCCTGTTTAAAATGTTTGAGGACCCCTGAATTAGAGAATGAAAAAAAAAGAACTGCAGAGAATGAAGGAATAAAAACATGGGTAGAGACAAAATGGAGGCAAAGCTAAAAATGAATATAGGAATGACTTTCACATTTGCTACAGCTGGGCCATGAATTTGTCTCTAAGCTGACAGTTCCATTGGTCCCACAATTCATGATATCTATGGATAAAAAACAAACCCGTTACTCTGGAGAAGTAAAACTATTCCCGGAATTGAGATCAGATTGGACTGTCTCCCAGGGACACTCAGAGAGAGAACATTGTGTTATATGAGCAGCAGTGTCCTTGACAGCATCCCTGACAGGGTGACCAGTTCACAAGGATGCCTCTTAGAGCCTGGTGGCTACACACCAAAAAGCGAGTCCATGGGTTAAAGCAATAGTTCTGAGGCAGAGGACTGGCTCAGTGATCATGGCCGCACAATGTTCTGATCTCCTGGACTACAGTTATTGGCATATAGCAGGTACCAAGAAGTATTTTTGAGTGAATGTCAATGAAGAAGACCAGTTCAGCCGGAACCGGTTTGGCTTAGTGGATAGAGCGTCGGCCTGCGGACTGAAAGGTCCCAGGTTCGATTCCGGTCAAGGGCATGTACCTGGGTTGCGGGCACATCCCCAGTAGGAGATGTGCGGGAGGCAGCTGATCGATGTTTCTCTCTCATCGATGTTTCTAGCTCTCTATCTCTCTCCCTTCCTCTCTGTAAAAAATCAATAAAATATATATATATATATAAAAAAAAAGAAGAAGACCAGTTCAAAGACTCCCTCTAGAAAGGCCTTCCAATTACCAAGACCTAAAATCCTGCTCCCCAATTTTGCACCCCTTTTGTAGCCATCAAGCAATAAATACAGTTATGCAATATTTCTCCTACTGTTGGGTTAAACTGCCATTTCAATATTTCGACATTAAATTTCTCATGTCTTCCCCAAATATGGGAATGAGGCCAGGGATATTTGTATGTGTGTGCACATAGTTGTTGTTGGTGGTGGAAGTGTTAGGTCTAGAAAGTACTGTACTCATCAAACTGGAAGACCAGTTTGCAGGTCACCTTGAGAGTACTATTGGCTTAGACCCAGACTCCCACATCCAGGCTGTCCTTTAGAGCTGAAGCAGGGTGGGTCGCGGTGCCACCGCGGGCCCTTTGCCATGGGTCTCTGCTGAGCAGCAGAGAGACCCAGTCACAGGTACTGGTGTCACTGGCATTACAAGAGACCGAGTGCTGAGCTAGCAGCTCCTGACCCCGGGCTCTTTCCGGTCCTGCAGGGAACTGGGGTTGAGTTGACTTCGCAGGTCAGGGTTTAGTCATCTTAGTTGGCAGAGTTAGAGGCTTGGGAGTAGGGCTTGGTGTAAGGGTTTTTCTTCTGGGTGGGTGTCACCACCTCTCAGTTCTGACTGTTATCTTCCTGTTGTCACTGACATTGTAAAGATGCTTCAGAGTAGGAACGTGGTCCCTATGTGCAGCGTTCTACCTGCAGTCACAATGATGATGAAGATGCTTGTCTTCTGGTGTATAACTTTACCTTGTTCTTGTTTCAGCAGCAATGGCACTGCCAGACCTGGGATAGGAAACTGGGAGAGGGAGTATAGTGGTTAAGAATATGGATTTTGATGGAGGCCTGTGCAGGTCTCACTCCATCCAGGGCTTGAAGTTGCTATCTGCCTCATAAAGGAAAGTAGGTAGTTTGTCTTTTGGCAAGACAAAGTTGTCTTGTCTGAAAAAGCCGCCTCCATGCTTGGCTTTGGCATCTTCCAGGAATAGGAGGGTCTCCTGTCATGATGGGCAGGAGGTGCTTTTGCTGATTCACAAGATGGGTGGCTGGGGTTCGAGGGAGACACGTGCCAAGCACGCAGCAGCAGTGGGAGGCCTGTGACAGCACCAGGATGTGGCACAGCCACAGGGTCACGGGGAATGGGAAGGTGCTCAGGATCACCTTGTTGACTATATTGCTGCTGGCACTCAGCACTGCAGGCATAGCATTGCCACCTCCTGTGCCCTCACATGCCTTGCTGCTGCCATCCTGCCCCAGTGGCCACCCCTTTCCACCCATCTAATGGCCCAACCCAGGCTCGTCATCACTTTCTACTTTGCTTTTTTTAAATAGAATTTATCCCCACATAACCTGTATATTTCTTTGTTTATTGTCTGCCTCTCCCCACTAGATTGTAAGCTCCTTGAAAGCGGGAACTTTGTTTTGTTCACTGTGGTAGCCCCAGCACCTAAAACAATGTCTGACATGTAGAAGGTACTCAAAAACACTTATTGAATGAATGAATAAATGTGCCAACCAATGGAGAGCTAGAACTTTTGTGAGTTCATCTGGCTAGAGGACAAGACACTGGAGAATGTGTAATGAAGGTGTCCACATGGACTCCTATAGCTATGTCTCTCCTACTAGACTAATGGGAAGAGTTGACAATGCCAAGAACCCAAGCCCCCCTGGGAATTACTGTTAACTATCTGTAATTGTAAGGTTGAGGGCCTAGAAAGATAGTATAGGATTCATTTAGTTTGGGAATGGTACAAAGGGCAGTCCCATTAATTTTAAAGTTAGCTAGAGTAGTTTTCTGGCTTCTAATCCAAAAACCTTGACTGAATAGGTTCAAGAAATTGAAAGAAAGCCCCTGTGTTTGGGTATGTGGATAGACAAGGGAAGAGTGATACATAGAAATAGGTAAGACCTTCTCTAAAAGTAAGACTAAACAAATGTGTTTAGTATTAAGTGGATGAGGAGTAGAAACCCATGAAAGAGTTTAAGCAGGGGAATGATACGGTCAGATTTGTGTTTTGAAATATTGTCTTGCCCAGACAGTGTGGCTCATGGATTGAGCGTCGACCCCTGAATCAAGAGGTCGCTGGTGCAATTCCTGGTCAGGGTACATGCCCAGGTTGTGGGCTTGATCCCCAGGGGGCGTGCAGGAGGCAGCCAATTGACATTTTTATCTCTCTATCCCTCTCCCTTCCTCTCTCTCTAAAATCAATATTAATAAAAAAAAAAAATATATTTTCTCTAGCTGAAGCGTGAATGGATTGGAGGAGGTCAGAGTGAATTATGGAAAAAATAAAAACATTCCAGAGGAAGTAGCATGAACATCAAGGAACACAATAGAGTATTGCAGTTGGGCCAGGGCTTAGCAAAGATCTTTCATTTATCTCTCTATAGTACAGGGGAGAAGGAGTTTGAAGGCTATTGCTGGCACAAGGCTGGGAATGAAGAGAGGTGGGAGGTAGGGCAGGATAAGTTAGAAGGGCTTTCTTTTTAATGTTTATAAGAACTTTCAGGAGAGACCACCACAACATCCATGATTTACACAAATAAGAACTGAATTGAAATAAAGTCTAACTTGAACCATTGATGTATAAATGCCAGTACTTGGGATTATAGTGACAATCTCCTAAACTCTTAAAAATTTAGAATCTTGAGAGAGTTAAGCTATGAAATCAACACATAGTTGATTAACCAGCTATGGTTATGGAGAAATTAGCCAGCCCTAATAGCAGGAGTTGAAAACAATAATGTGTAAATTATAGATGGAAGCTTTTAAATTATAGGTTATAGTTGATACATTAGCATGTTTACACTACGATGTGGAATTCTGGTGTACCAATTATAGATATGACTATCAAGAATTTGAAAAGATTATTAAAAAATTGTAATCAGTCAGAATGGCTATCATCAAAATCAACAAACGACAAGTGCTGGCAAGGATGTAGAGAAAAAGGGCCCTAGCTGGTTTGGCTCAGTGGATAGAGCGTCGGCCCGCGGACTGAAGGGTCCTGGGTTTGATTCCAGTCAAGGGCACATGCCCAGGTTGTGGGCTCGATTCCCAGTAGGGGGTGTGCAGGAGGCAGCCAATCTATGATTCTCATCATTGATGTTTCTATCTCTCCACTCTCCCTTTCTTTTGGAAATCAATAAAAATATATTTTTTTAAAAAAGGAACCCTCGTACATTGCTGGTGGGAAGGCAGACTGGTGCAGCCACTGTGGAAAACAGTATGGAGTTTCCTCAAAAAATTAAAAATGGAACTCCCATTTGACCCAATAATCCCACTTCTAGGAATATATCCCAAGAAATCAGAAACACCCATCAGAAAGAATATATGCACCCCTGTGTTCATAGCAGCACAATTTACAATAGCTAAGATTTGGAAACAGCCTAAGTGCCCATCAGCAGATGAGTGGATTAAAAACCTGTGGCACATCTACACAATGGAATACTACGTTCCAGTAAAAAAGAACTCCTACCATTTGCAAAAGGATGGATGGACCTGGAGAGCATTATGCAAGTGAAATAAGGCATTTGGAGAAAGATAAACATCACATGATCTCACTCATTTGTGGAATATAATGAACATCATAAATTGATGAACAAAAATAGATCCAGAGACATAGAAGCATCGATCAGATGCTCAAACCTCAGAGGGAAGGCAGGGGAGGGTGGGAGTGAGGGAGTAAGAGATCAACCAATGGACACAAACAATGGGGGGTTGAGGACCTGTGTGGGGGGGGGGGCAGGGGGGTGGAGCAGGCTGGGAGAGGTCAATGGGGGGAAAAATGACATGTAATACTTTCAACAATGAAGAATTAAATAAATAAATAAAATGAAAAAAAATTTAAATCAGAAATTATATATCTATTTAATCATGAAACCTAATGTCAAAAAGGTAATATTCACAGAAACATGCTCAAGTTCCTCATGAAAAATTTAAAACATTTTATTTGAATATTTAGCCTTAATAAAGGTTGTGATTTTCTCCTTTTGAAGGGAGTGTCCAGAGGCGCACGCTGCCTGGAAACGGCCACAGGGGCGCTGGCGGTGGCCTGGAAGCAGCTCTCCGGGGAGAGAAGCTGGGGAACTCCCAGGAACCACGCTTGGGCCACGCCCCACTGAGGGACCAATAGGGGCGGGCGTTAGGCGAGACACTCAGCCAAGCTGATGATAGGCGCTGGTGACGAGCAGCGTTGCTCGCCAGTTTGTCTGGTGACGTCATCCCACAGCGCCGGAAGTGGCGCGTCAAAGGAGTACCGCGAACTCATCCGTCACTGCTGTTTGAGGTAAGGCAGTTTGGGCCTACCTCCTGAGCTGGCCGTGATGGAAGCCGTGGGCGTGGACCTCATGCCGGCTCACTTCAGTTTTTGAGTGACGTGCCTTGAAAAACGCTCTCACGGCTTCTTTCTTTGCCGGCGTTGCTCCTTCCTCGGGCTCCGGGGCTCTCGGCTCCCTCCGGCTCCCTTGGGCCGTGCTTGGCGGCGCTCACGTTGGTCTCCGCCCCACTTGGCGTCCGTTCACCTGTGCCCCTGACACCCGTGCCTAGCTTGGTCGCAACACAAGCAGAGCAACTATTAGAGCGTGGGCACTGCCCAGCCCGTGGGCTGTCAGGTAGGACATTGTTTCCTTCGGAAACCCTCCCTGAAAGGAGCTTGAGGGCCTTTCACAGCGTCCTCAGCAGGCCGGTGGGAAGGCAAGGCTGTTCCCACGCGGACCAGCGATGGCCGTTCCACACAGCGGGGGTCTAATTTCCATTGGGAATAATGTGGCCCAGGTGTGGGGCCTTCTGGGTATTTGACGTATCGTTAGAACACGGGACAGGGCTCTCCATGGGGGGAGACAGTGCAGGTTGGTGCCTTTTCACGGTAGCTGCACTGTCTGCTGTCGGATGGTCCTGAGCTCCTGCTTTCATCCTGCCCGTACTATTAACAAGAGTGATAATGCTTACTTTTTGCCAGACACGGATCTTTACATACTAACTCGTTTAGCCCGTGTAGTGTAGAGTAGTTATTAATATTGTTTTACAGCCGAAGAAATAAAGACTTACGTCAAATAACTGACCTCAAGTCACACAGCGAGGAGGTTGTGGCGCCACGATTTGAACTCCAGCATTTGGACTTTAGAGGCCTGGATGTTGCCCACTATTCTATGCTGATTTTGTTCAACTGTTGGTCAAGTGCCCGAGCACCTCACTCTGTTATCTACTATTTTATGGAGAAAATTGAGGTCATCAGAGGTGCCCTTCCTCACATTTCTGCTTTTGCTTTCCCATGTACAAAACCACCTAGATTTACACTCATGTTGATCTTAAGTCTCAGAGGATGAGGATGAGCTGTATCCTCTGATCAAAGCAAATCCCTTTACCTGTGTTCCTGATCTTTTATACTCTCACCTATGAGAGCTTGTTTTCATTTGTCGTTTCTGCCCCTGTCCCAGTCATGTATAAACAAGGCCAGGTTTCTCAGGACCCTGGCCATCTCTCATCCCCACGTCCACTATGCAAGCCAGAAAGAAAAAAGTTCTTGGTGATCATCTTCCTTTAGCTATCATCCAGTGACTCTTCCCCCTTCTTTTTTTTTTTTTTTTTTTTTAATATATTTTATTGATTTTTTTTTTTTACAGAGAGGAAGGGAGAGGGATAGAGAGTTAGAAACATCGATGAGAGAGAAACATCGATCAGCTGCCTCTTGCACACCTCCTACTGGGGATGTGCCTGCAACCAAGGTACATGCCCTTGACTGGAATCGAACCTGGGACCTTTCAGTCCGCAGGCTGACGCTCTATTCACTGAGCCAAACCGGTTAGGGCTCTTCCCCCTTCTTATCCAAACTGTTTTAAAGGGTATTCTAAATTCTGTCTCCATTTTCTCAACTCCCATTTCCTTCTGCAGTCTGCTTTCAGACCTATTATTCCCCTGAAATCTTACCCTAAGGTCACCAGTGATTGTTCCTCAAACCAGATAGTCATTTAAAAATCATCACTGGATTGATTCCCTTGCTGCTTTTGAGACTTGATACCTCTCACTCCCTTTTTTATTTTTATTTTTGTTAATCCTCACCGAGGATATTTTTCCATTGATTTTTTAAAATATATTTTATTGATTTTACAGAGAGGAAGGGAGAGGGATAGAGAGAAACATCTATGAGAGAGAAACATCCATCAGCTGCCTCCTGCACACCCCCCACTGGGGATGTGCCCGCAACCCAGGTACATGCCCTTGACCGGAATCGAACCTAGGGCCCTTCAGTCCGCAGGCCGACGCCATATGCAGAGCCAAACCAGTCAGGGCTCCATTGATTTTTTTAGAGTGGAAGAGAGGGGGACAGAGAGAGAGAGTGAAACCTTGATGTGAGAGAGACACACTGATTGGTTGCCTCCCACACACATCCTGACCAGGGCCAGGGATCGAGCCTGCAACCTAGGTACATGCCCTTGACTGGAATCGAACCTGGGACCCTTCAGTCCATAGGCTGATGCTAAACTGGCTAGGGCTCACTCCCATAATACACTCAGTTGATTTATTCAGTGAACATTTATTGTGATATAGAGATGAGCAAAACAATGTGCCTTTCCTTAAGGAGCTTATATTCTAGCTGCTTCTCCATGTTCCTCTCTCACTAGTCATTTCTCCTGTGGATAGTCTTTTTTCCTCCACCCAAAATGTTGGGTGTTTCCAATGCTTGCCACTTTGGCCCGCTGTACTTTTTAAAAAATATATTTTTATTGATTTCAGAGAGAAAAGGAGAGGGGGAGAGAGATAGAAACATAAGTAATGGGAGAGAATCATTGATCGGCTGCCTACTGCACGCTCCCTACTGGGGATGGAGCCCCCAACCTAGGCATGTGCCCTGACCGGGAGTTGAACCATGACCTCCATGGTTCATAGGTCGACACTCAACCACTGAGCCATGCTGGCCAGGCTGTTCTTTTCATTCTGTACATAATGCCTGAGTTAATACATCACCTGGCTTGGTTTTAACTCCCTACATGCTTTCAAATAGAAGTTGTCATATTAGACCTCTTTTCTGAGTTTCACCCTCACTTCTGACTACCCTGCTGGACAGCTCTGCCTGCAACTCCCACAGGCAGTTCAAATTCAGAGGCCCAAAACTGAACTCAGCATCTTCCCTGAACTTACTTTATCACACCCATCACTAAATTCTAATGATTTTACCCCCTAAATGTTTCTCAAATCTGTACTCTCTACTTTATCTCTCCATTGTCCTACTTCAGGCCTCATCATCTCTCACCTGAAATACAATGGGCTTCTAACTGGTTTCCCTGCCTCTAGTTCTGTTCTCCACATATCTTTTGTCCACACTCCCTACCTCCTCCCCCAAATGATCTTTGAAAACAAATCTGTGTCAAAGACCTACTTAATAATCTTTAAAGAGCTTTCTGTTCTTTCATCTGTTTACTCTTTCATTCAGCACATACTTATTGTTTACTGAATTGCAAAATTCATTGGAACTTCTAGAATATGAGCTTCTCAGCCAGTCATCCAGGGCCCTGCTTCATTTGGGCCTGCTTGAATCTTCAGCCTCTTTTCTGCCTCATACTTTGGGTTGCAGCAACACTGAACTGCTTCTTCATATGTACAGTGCTGTTCCTTTGTGCATTTGCCCTTGCTGTTCACTTTTATTGGAGTCTTCTCCCAGATTTCTTTCTTTACTTCTTCTTTTTTTTTTTTTTTTAATATCTTATTGATTTCAGAGAGGAAGGTAGAGAGAGATAGAAACAATGATGAGAGAGAATCCTTGACCTGCCTCATGCATGCCCCCTCCTGGGGATTGAACCCGAAACTTGGGCATGTGCTCTGACCAGGAATCGAACTGTGACCTGGTTCATAGGTCGAAGCTCAACCGCCAAGCCACACCAGCCAGGCTCTTTCTCCACTTCTCCTCGCTTAGTTAGGCTGTTCCCTTTCACCTAATTAACCAGGTTTTTATACATATAGGACTCATTGTGGGCTCAACGCCTATAGGAAACCTTTCTTGACACCTTTCTCCAACTCTCGGTTGGGTACTTCACCTTTGTGCCCTGTCTTTGTGACAGCAGGTATGATGTCTTATACCTGTACCACACAATGCAAGTGAAATGTATTATGTCTTTACTCCCAGCACTAGTTTGGCACAAGGAACATAGTGGGCATGCTGTAATTTTGACTGAATGATCAAATAAGTGAAGACAAAAGGTATATGGTGCAGATTAAGAACCTGTTCTTTAGCCCTAGCTGGTTCAGCTCAGTGGATAGAGTGTTGGCCTGTGAACGGAAGGGTCCCTGGTTTGATTCCGGTCAAGGGCATATACCCGGGTTGTGAGCTCGATCCCCAGTAGGGGGTGTGCATAAGGCAGCCGATCAGTGATTCTCTCTCATCATTAATGTTTCTATCTATCGCTCTCCCTCTCTGAAATCAATAAAAATATATTTTTAAAAAAGAGCTTGTTCTTTGGAATTAATTCAAATCCTGTCTCTGGCACACATTGGCTGTATGACTTGAACACATTACTTATCTTCTCTAAGCCTTAAATTTTTGCTTCCTTGCAATGAGAGTTGTTGTGAAGATTAAATGAGATGATATAAGTAATTTATTTAGCAAATGCCTAGCACATAGTATGCACTTGATAAAAGCATGCTGAACACCAGGGGCTATAGAAGAAAAGTATATTGAAGACCAGGTCTAACCCAGGGCAATGATCTCCAGAGAGACTTCCTCCAAATTTTCTGAATGGATGGACAGTGATGCAGTCTATATATACAAGGAGATTTAATTATCATCTGTATCCATCCATCCCACCTTGACCCTTGGATCTTTCATAGGCAACTTAATCTAATTGTGTTTTAATCTTAAATCATCTCTTCTTTACCTACTGTTTATCCCCAAATTAATGTCTCTTTGTATATTCTTCCTTTTGGTTAATGGATATTTCCAAATTAGGAATCCTGGTTATCTCCCTTTCCTCCTTTGTCATTCCCCAAATGCAGTCAGTAATTAAGTCTACCTTCATGATTTCTTCTGGCTGTTCTTCCTCTCCATTCCCTTTGTTCTGCCTTTGTTCAAGCAGAATTTCTTGTCTCTTTTTCTTCTGCTGAAACTCTACATGGTCTTAAGGGTTGTTTTTCCAGAGAATGCCAGCACCTCCACTATTGTGCAGGTTGTGTATTGCACAAAGGTGCTGCAGTCATACTTTGGAAATTGCATGTCTGCAATTTATTATGACAGTCTTCTGGCAGAGGGCAGCAAAACATCATTCTAACATCAGTATGTTAATGACAGTTAAAGAAGGGAAACCTTCAAATACACAAAAAGTGCCTGTAGACTGAAGAATATCTTCTGTTTTTATGTTCTTAGTTTTCTGCCAGGCAAACTCCTTTTCGGTCCTTTAAAACCCATTATAAATATCCCTTTTTCATAAAGTCTGTTTTGATACTCTTTGCAAGAGTCAGTCATTCCTTTGCCTGAGCTAATGCCGTATTTGGTTACTTCCTTCTTACAATGCTTATCACGTTATATTTTAATAAATGGTATATGAGTCTATCTGTCCCATTGTACTCCAGGCCCCAGAAGAATAGGGACAATGTTTAATCATTCGTTGATCCTCAACCTGTAGCCTAATGCCCAGCACATAAAGTATATCAATAAATATAACAAATATTTGATTGCTTGGCATGATTCAGGCACAGAGGTGAATACTTTACCCACATTTTCTTAGTTAATTCTCACAACAGCCTTATGAATCCTGTCATTATCACATTTTACATGTGAGGAAATTCAGACTAGGGAGGTGAAGTCACTTGCCTCAAGATGACCAGATGGTATATGGCATGTGTGGTATCCAGGGTGTGGCCCTGGAGGACTTGTGCTAGTTTTTCCATGATTCTCTTCTGTTTTGTCTCTCAGAGTAATGATGCGGGTGTGCTGGTTGGTGAGACAGGACAACCGGCACCAGCGAATCAAACTCCCACATTTGGAAGCAGTGGTGGTTGGGCGTGGCCCAGAGACCAAGATCACTGATAAGAAATGTTCTCGACAGCAAGGTAACTAACTGGTCACAAGAATGTGGAGAGCACCATGCCCGGTTCCTTAGAGTAGTGATAACCAAAGGTGCGCATTTTCTGGGCGGTCATGATGGAAAACGTTTGGTCTGCCATAAACAAAACTCAGGAACAGGGCTCTTTTAGCCAACACCAGGCCCCATTCACTCCTGATTCCACCCTCCGAAAGCAGTAACTGTTCAGTGTTGGGAACAGACGGGTCCTTCCTGTTACTGTTGGGGGTGGAGTTCTGCACCCTGCTTTGTCTAGGAAGGGTTCGAGTTGGGAAGTGAGACAGTTGAATTCTAGGATCTCCAGGCTGAAACTGTGTCTGAGAAGTGATGGGATGGTTCCATCCTTTACATATTGCCTCATACAGAGGGTGCTATTTTTATTTATTTTAAAAATTTATCTTTATTGTTGAAAGTATTACAGATGTCCCCTTTGTTTTTTCCTCACTGACACCCTCTACCCGGCACCCACCCTTCCCAGGCATTCACCACAGCATTGTCTGTGTCCATGGGTTATGCATATATGCGTATAAGTTTCCCAGTTAATCTCCCCCATCTACCTCCCCACCTCTATCTTTCCCAGAGGGTGGTATCTTTATAAGATGATAGTATCTAGCTCTTGAAGTGTCATCCCTGGGATTTAATGAAATGAAAGTCCTTAGGAAAAAGCCTTACCATATACCTCATTTTTTTGCCTGTAAACTTCTGGACATGCTCATTGCTACCAGGCCTCCCAGTGCAGTACGTTCCCCATAGCAGGGTTTCCCGAGGCTTGGAGTTGCAGCACTGATGATTGGTTTTGCCACATGAGTTCATCTAAATGGGTGAAAAAAAGTCATGCTTGACCTGGCTAGGCCCAAGATACAGAAGCAGAAGCAGACGCTGCTTCTCACTCTCTGTCCCCCTGGTCACAATAGGCGTGTGTCCTCTGCCTGTCTTCTCTGGAGCGCAGCTGTGGTGTCTCTCCTTTTTGTTCCCTGTCTCACTTACCTGAGCATGAGTGATAAATGTTACTTCTTCCCACACATGCTCAGATTGTTCTGACTGTTCCTCTTTCTAGACCAGTGGTTCTCAACCTCTGGCCCTTTAAATACAGTTTCTCATGTTGTGACCCAACCATAAAATTATTTTCGTTGCTACTTCATAACTGTAATGTTGCTACTGGTATGAGCCGTAATGTAAATATCTGATACGCAGGATGGTCTTAGGCGACCCCTGTGAAAGGGTCGTTCGACCGCCAAAGGGGTCGCGACCCACAGGTTGAGAACCGCTGTTCTAGACTATTCTCTCCACTCCTCCTACCCAAGGTCAGCTGAACTTCTGTTTTCCAGGAACGTATCATTTGCCCCTTTCTCTGGTAAAGGCATCTGATAGTTTTATGTAATAGCAGGAGCCTGATTTAATCTTGAGTGAAGAGCTTGTAAGAGAAGTGGGTCCCCTTCCCTGACTGCAGAGTCTGTGATCCAGGTGGCCAAGGGCTCTGGAGTAGGGAGACCTGTGGAGACTTGGTGACGCTGCCTCGTAGGGATATTAGCAGTAGCTAAGGGAGTATGTACACTGTTGGACTTTTTTTACTTTTAAGTGTTTGATTCCACAAACATCAGAGAATAAACAGATAGTCCCATCACGCTGATATTCTCTGAGTGAAGAAAATCAAATTTTAATTTATGATGACCTGTTGGACATTTTATGGAAGGATTTGGAGCCCCAGTCACCTGTATAATGGGCAGTTTTGCCCCCTAAGCCTTTGAGGAAACCCGTGTCAAGTTGCCTTCATGAGGCTTCATTGTCCTGTAGAGAGAATAGGAGCAACTGCCTGGTTCTTCATGGCATTTGGGTTTGACTTTTTTCAATCTCTTTCAGTGCAGTTGAAAGCAGAGTGTAACAAAGGATATGTCAAGGTAAAGCAGGTATGTCTGTTTGTGACTTGAATTTCCATTTTATACTTGACGATTTTCTTACGCTGTTGACTTTAGAGTGTCAGTGCGAGCCAGTAAGTCTTCTCTGTCATGTGTGGAAGTGATGGAGTAATGTAAGTGAACATTAAGCATAGTTCCTGGCACATAGTAAGTGGTTAACATAACAGTGACTATATTGGTGATGGTATTGTTGCTTTTTTGTAATTACCTTCTGATTATTTCATAGGTAGGGGTCAATCCCAGCAGCATTGACTCAGTCATAATTGGGAAGGACCAAGAGGTGAAGCTGCAGCCTGGCCAGGTTCTCCACATTGTGAATGAACTTTATCCGTATATTGTAGAGTTTGAGGAAGAGGCAAAGAGCCCTGGCCTGGAAACACACAGGAAGAGAAAGAGGTCAGGCAACAGCGATTCCTTAGAAAGGGATGCTGCCCAGGAAGCTGAGCCCAGTACAGGACTGGTACCTGGGAGTGACCCTAGCCAACGCTTTGTGCCCCCAAACAAGGGGACAGATGAGTCTACCAAAAAGGTGAGGGTATTTTGCTTGATAGATGATGTGGAGATTAAATGATAGAATGACGGCTTAAATGTTTTGTACACTCTAAAGCCAGGCACACGTGAGGGGTTATTAACCATGATAGGGGTTATTAACCAAGATGAAAGAGTCACTTGTTTGTGTCACCAGTCACTTGAGTGAATGTCCCTTTATGTGCTTTTCTCTTGCATTCCTGAGGTAAGCCACTTGAAGGTAGGGCGATAATGGAATATACTTAACACTGAGCTACTAAAATGTGTCAGTCATTTGTATTTCTAGAAGGTTAGCATTGGAACACTTTTCATAGATCATGTGATTCACATCCTGATGTCAAAGTGGAGACCTAGTCAGGCTTAGATGGAATGGGAGAGGACAAAGAAGATGTGGTTCATACTCTGGCATTTCCAGCCTCTGTCTAGACATGTAGCTCTGGATATAGGGAGAAAATGGGGATGGCTTATGATTACAAAGGCAAAAGATTGATATAAAGGGGATGTAGTTTAATTCTTAAAAATTAACTTTATTTCCAAGTTTGGTTGGATTTTGCTGACATTCAGTGTTAACTAATGCCAAATTTAATTATTGGCATTTGAGATTTTCATTGCTCTTTATTGTTTTAGGAATCATTGGGCCACTGGAGTCAAGGCTTGAAGATTTCTATGCAGGATCCCAAAATGCAGGTCAGAATAAAATTTTGGCATTGAAATAATCGGCAGAGTTTATAACTATAAATGAAATCAAAGGCGATCAGTGTTTCAAATGAGATTTGTTTTGTTGGGCTATTTGTGTGAACATGTAGCCTTTCTCATTGCCAATAAGTTAGCACCTGAAATTCTTTGGAGAGAAACTAAGTTCTTCAAATGAATATCCCCTCTGCCTTGTTCCTCTTAAACTTCTGCATACTATTAAGGGAAATTGAGTTAACCTTACTGTGGTCCCTTTCAAGGGAGCATCAGATAATAATGACTGTGGTTACTGGCTTATCCTGGGATTAATAGTCCGGTATCACCCTAGGAGGGGTCTTTGAGTTCTTAAATTATCTACTGGGATGACAAGGGGCCAGATCTGATAGGGCGTCTTGGAACACACGGGCAGATGTCATATGGTCTGCTGTGGTAGAGTGGAGAAGGGAGCATTTAATTGATGCCTGGATGGATCTCACATCAGATCCTTAACAACTAATGTACTTCATACTGTGCATCTTCTGTGTAGTGTGGTGATTAAAACACTGACTGGCCCTAACCAGTTTGGCTCAGTGGATAGAGCGTCGGCCTGCAGACTGAAGGGTCCCAGGTTCAGTTCCAGTCAAGGGCATGTACCTTGGTTGCAGGCACATCCTCAGTGGGGGGCGTGCAGGAGGCAGCTGATCGATGTTTCTCTCTCATCAATGTTTTTAACTCTCTGTCCCTCTCCCTTCCTCTCTGTAAAAAAATCAATAAAATGTATATATTTAAAAAAACAACAACACAGACTGAAGTTGGCTTGCAATCCTAGATTTCCTACTTTGTAACTGTGACTTTGCATAAGACACTCAGCTTATCGGAGTCTCTGTGCTTTCAACTATCAAAATTGGGATACTAAAAACTTATACTGAAGATTGTAGTGGGATTAAGTGAGTTAATGAATATAACAGCACCTGGCACAGAAGATGCATGGAAAATGTCTGTTTCCTTCTCCTTTGCCCCTCTTCTAGGTTTACAAAGATGAGCAGGTGGTGGTGATTAAGGATAAATACCCCAAGGCTCGTCACCACTGGCTGGTCTTACCATGGGCCTCAATTTCCAGTCTGAAGGCTGTGACCAGGGAACATCTTGAGCTCCTCAAACATATGCATGCTGTGGGGGAAAAGGTGATTGTAGATGCTGCTGGGCCCAGCAAACTCCGCTTCCGATTGGGCTACCACGCCATTCCCAGCATGAGGTAAGCCCTGTGGGGAGTACTGGTGCATTCTGATTATGTGTAGGTGGAGATGGATGCAGCCTGGGTCTGCTGAGTGTGCTGATATCTGCAAGGCCCAGGGGGGTTTCCAAGGCAGGTGAGCTGAAACTTCTGTTCTGTCTGACTTTTCTGTAAGCCTTGAGTTCCTACTTCTGCTTGTAATTCAGTTACATACTTTTTTTTTTGATCCTCTCAAAGTGTAAACCTCTGAGGACCTAATTTATGAACTAGATGAAGTAGCTTTATTACACCGGGATGAAGAATTAAAGAATTGTAGTCAGTGACTGTTCAGAAACTCCTAAGTGATTAAGGACCATTGCTCTGAAGGACACAAACATCACTGACTTCTGTCCTAACAGCTTAGTAGATCTAAGATGTAAGATAAAATGAGAGAAAAGTGCAGAGCCAGTTTTCTTTTGGCTCATACCCAGAAGGATTGAGAAAGGAATGATTGATTCTTTTCAAAGAATGCATCCAAGGCAGTGCTCCACAGGTCTTTACACCTAAACGAGATAAGCAGAGTAATGGATTTCAGAGTTTTTATCTTGGGTTTTTTGAGTTATTTTATTTTTTTGCTTTTTTTGTGTGTAATAAAATATATATAGCATAAAATTTACCACTTTAACCATTTTCAAGTGTCCAGTTTAATGGCATTAAGTACATTTACATTGTGAAACCATCACCACTATCTATTTCTAGAACTTTCTTCCCACACTACCATCTTCCTTCCTCCCTCAACCCCTCAAAATCACCATTTACTTTCTGTCTCTATGAATTTAACTACTTTAGGTACCTCATATAAGTGGAATTGTATAGGATCTGTCTTTTTGTGACTGGCTTATTTCACTTAAGGTAATTCTTCAAACTTCATCCGTGTTCTACCATGTATCAGAATATCTTTTTTTTTAAAATATATTTTATTGATTTTTTACAGAGAAGAAGGGAGAGGAATAGAGAGTTAGAAACATCGATGAGAGCCCTGACCTGTTTGGCTCAGTGGATAGAGCATTGGCCTGTGGACTGAGGGGTCCCGGGTTCGATTCCGGTCAAGGGCATGTACCTTGGTTGCGGGCACATCCCCGGTGGGGGGTGTGCAGGAGGCAGCTGATCGATGTTCCGCTTTCATTGATGTTTCTAACTCTCTATCCTTCTCCCTTCCTCTCTGTAAAAAATCAATAAAATATATTAAAAAAAAAAAAAAAAAGAAACATCGATGAGAGAGAAACATCGATCAGCTGCCTCCTGCACATCTCCCTCCTGGTATGTGCCCGCAACCAAGGTACATGCCCTCGACCGGAATCGAACCTGGGACCCTTGAGTCCACAGGCCGACGCTCTGTCCACTGAGCCAAGCTGGCTAGAGCTGTATCAGAATATCTTAAGGCTATTTTTAATAAACACCCATTATTTTTCACGTGTTTTTTTTTTTTTGGATGAGTAATTATGACTTAGATTACTGGCTACTTTTAACCTAATGAAATTTTTGTGCCACATATTTCTCCCCATCACTACTCTTTCTTTTAAAAGGACGCATAACCTATCTAGAATAAAATGTATAATAAGATTTATAGTTTGATCAGTTTTGACAGATGTACATGCCATGCAACTATCACTCTGATCAAGATATAGAACATTTCTATCATCTCATCCCAGGAAACACCTTTGTGCTCTTTACAGTTAATCCTCCGCAAGCATTGTTATAATTTCTTTCAGCATAATTGGTTTTGTCTGTTCTCATGTAAATGGAACCATGTAATGTGTATTCTTTTTCATTCTGGCTTTCTTTGGTCAGCATAATGATTTTGAGATTCTTGCATGTCACCCATAGTCCTATTTCCCTAATGCTTTAGAGCCTATGACTAACAGCTAATGATTAAAGAGCCCTTTTCACATAGTAACCATGGTGTCCGTGCCTTTTTCATATAATGAATACTGTTGTGCTAAGGAGAGTTCTGAAAGCAAGAGCTGTGGCAGGTGTGGGTGGGAAACAAAGTGAGCAGTAAGTAAAATTGCCACTTACATATCCTTTTATGACCACTCTTTATGATATAATTTTGAATAAAGTTTATAGAAAGGAAAAGGTAACAAATAATTTTGTCTATTGTAAAATTAATATATTTTAAATTTAGAAAATATAAAAATAGAAAGTGTGAAGCAGGACAAAAATCTTTCATAACATCACCACTAATTAAACTGTAGACCTTATTTGAATTTCACCCATTTTTCTTAAATCCTTTTCTGCTCCAGGATTTGATCCAAGATCCTGCATATGAATTTATTATCTCTCCTTAGTCTCCCCTAATCTGTGATACTTCCTCTTCCTTTTCTGGTTTTCTTTTTTTAATATATTTTATTGATTTTTTAGAGAGGAAGGGAGAGGAATAGAGAGTTAGAAACATAGATGAGAGAGAAACATTGATCAGCTGCCTCCTGCACACTCCCTACGGGGTATGTGCCCACAACCAAGGTACATGCCCTTGACCAGAATCGAATCTGGGATCCTTGAGTCCGCAGGCCGACGCTCTATCCACTGAGCCAAACCGGTTATGGCCTTTTCTGGTTTTCATGACCTTGACACTTTTGATGAGTACTGGCTAGTTATCTTATAGGATATCTCTCAGTTTGGGTTTGTCTGATGATTTTTCATAATTAGATTGAGATTATCCTTTTTTGCCAACATGCCACAGAAGTGATGTGTCCATTTCAGTGCCTCATATCAAGGAGTGCATGATGTCAAGATGGTTTATTATCCATGATGTTAACCTTGATCACTTTGTTAAGGTGGTGTCTGCCAGGTTTCTCTACTCAAAGTTACTATTGAATATTTTGAGACTATGCTACTATCCTATTTCTGTTCAAACTTTTGCCTAGTACTTTTAGTGTCTCTATTGGTGGATCTGGCCTGCAATAGTTATTACTATGGTGTTTACCTAATGGTGACTTAATGTTTCCCTCATTCCTTCTAATTTATTTTTTGTGTTTTATTAATACTCACCCAAGAATATTTTTCTACTGATTTTTAAAGAAAGTGGAAGGGAGGGGGAAAGACACAGAGAAACATCTATGTGAGAAAGCATATCGATTGGTTGCCTCCCACATGCGCCCTGACCAGGGCCGGGGATGGAGCCTGCAACTGAGGTACTGCCTTTGACTGGAATCGAACACGAGACCCTTCAGTCCAAGGACTGGCACTCTAACAACCTAAGCAACCGGCTAGGGCCCTTCTAATTTATTAATTAGATTTCTTCCATGTGGAAGAGCGCCCCCCAATCTCTGCCCCAATTATATATTTATTCAATTATCAGTACAGATTCATGGATATTTATTTTATTCTGTAAGTTTTAACTCAGTCTATCATTATTTATTTTGTTGCTCAAGTCATTCCAGCTTTGATCATTGGACGCTCCTCTTGGCTGGCCCCTGTAGCACTTTGACATACCTCCAACATGTTTTGAGCACTTATTTTCTGGAATAAGATGTTCCAGGCTCATTATAGCCCTGGAATGAGCCACTTCTGCCAAGAGCCCTTGTTCCTTTTATTGGATATTTATAAACCAAGACTTGGGTACTAGGTTTCTGTAATATTGACCCTAGGGTGTTTTTGCTCCTAGATCCTCTCAGTAGATAGAGCTAGGAAATAAATGCATGAATCCTAACCTGCACTGGTAACACATACCTCTCTATTTATTTACCTGTATGTATATATGAAAACCGTAATTCATAGTGATACCTCTCATTCCAGCCCAACCCCACAGGGTTCATTCTTGTCTTCTTATTTCCGTTATTGTAACTTCTTTCTCCAACAGTGAGAAATTTGGCTCTCGTTAGCTACACTAAATTTACTTATTTGTTCAATCCTAGTACAGTTGACCCTTGAACAACACGGGTTTGAATTGTGCTGGTCCACTTATATGCGTATTTCTAAAAAAAATACGTGCAGTACTGTAAACGTATTTTCCTTATGATTTTCTTAACATTTTTCTAGCTGACTTCATTTTAAGAATACTATATATAATACATATAGTATACAAAATATATGTCAATTGACTATTTATGTTATTGGTAAGTCTTCTGTTTAGCAGTAGGCTAATAGTAGTTACTCTTCTGGGGAGTCAGAAGTTAAACATTTTTGCCCAGCTGGTGTACCTCAGTGATTGAGCATCAACCTATGAACCAGGAGGTCAAGGTTTGATTCACAGTCAGGACACATGCCCCAGTTTTGGGCTCAATCCCCAGTGGGGGGCATGCAGGAGGCAGCTGATCAGTGATTCTCTCTCATCATTGATATTTCTATCTATCTTTCCCTCTCCCTTCCTCTCTGAAATCAGTTAAAAAAAAAAAGTTACAGATTTTCAACTGCATGGAGCTCAGCACCTCTAACCCCTGTGTTGTTTAAGGGTCAACTTTGTACATACAAAATAGTTACAGAATTGCTATTCCATACCCTTGTGAGAAATACTTTTACTCACAATAGCACAGTATTTGTATACAGTTCTTATTTAAAAAATTGATTTTAGAGAAGGGAAGTGGGGGAAAGAGAGAGAAAGAAAGAAACATTGATTTGTTGTTCCACTTATTTATGCTTTCATTGGTCGATTTTTGTATGTGTTCTCACTGGGGATCAAACCTGCAACCTTGGTGTATTGGGATGACACTCTAACCAATTGAGCTACCTGTTCAGGGATGTATATAGTTTTTTAAAAAAATATTTTATTGATTTTTTACAGAGAGGAAGGGAAAGCGATAGAGAGTTACAAACATCGATGAGAGAGAAACATCGATCAGCTGCCTCCTGCACACCCCCTACTGGGGATGTGCCTGCAACCAAGGTACATGCCCTTGACTGGAATTGAACCTGGGACCCTTCAGTTGCAGGCCAATGCTCTATCCACTGAGCCAAACCAGTTAGGGCTGTATACAGTTCTTTTTCTACTATCCAGTGAAAATACTGCTTTCCAAAGTTAATTAGGTTAGTTATTTTCTTCCTGACCCCCTTTAGAATGGTCTTTTATTTATAGTTAGGTTTGTTACTGCTTATATTCCATTTTGGATTCCGCACATACTGGTTTTTGTTTTGCTTTGTTTTTTAATATTTTTATTGACTTCAGAGAGGAAGTGAGAGGGAGAGAGATAGAAACATCAATGATGAAAGAGAATCATTGATTGGCTGCCTCCTGCATGCCCCCTACTAGGATTGAGCCCACAACCCAGGCATGTGCCCTGACTTGGAATCGAACCATGATCTCTTGGTTCATAGGTCTATGTTCAACCACTGAGCCACACTGGCCAGGCTACTGGTTGGTTTTGATTATTTATTGGGGGAATGTGAAGTATTATTGAGTCTAAAAGTCAATGCTATACAAAAAGGCATCCTACGTGGTTTAACAAGTTGAACAGCAAACTCTTGATTTCGTTCTCAAATCTGCTTTTCCCATAAACTTCTCTATCTCAGTAGGTGGCACCTCCCCAAACCCACATCCAATCCATTAATAAGTCCTGTTCCAAAATATTTTAAAAATTGAATTGCTTCCTGTCATTTCCACTATTATAGCTCTAGTCTAAGACATGATTATTTCTGACTTGGACTGCTAGGTCTCTCTGTATCCATCTGTACCAACTTCATAGTCCTTTCTCCCAGCAGCAAGAATCATCTTTAAAAAGTATAACTTAGATAGTAGCACTCCTCTGCTTAAAATCCTTAATGGCTCCCCAATATAATCAGAATATAGTGCAAACCCCTTGCTGACCTATAAGACCCTCATGATCTGGCTCCTACCTAATCTCTGCTCCAAGGCTCCAGTCATTCTGACCATGTTACCTTTCTGTTCCTTGGTTGTACTAAGCTCTTTCTCATCTCAGGGCCTTTTGTGCTTAGCCTCCCTGCTCTCTGAAATACTCTTTCCCCCAAAATTCTTTGCTTGCCTGACTGCTTTCTCAGCTCAATCACTGCCTGGGAGAGACCTTCCCTGGACATCCTAAGCTAGTTAAAGAGGCAACCTCTACCCCCTTGGCACTCTCTATCACATTTCTCTGTTGTTTTTTTTTTTTAATATATTTTATTGATTTTTTACAGAGAGGAAGGGAGAGAGATAGAGAGTCAGAAACATCGATGAGAGAGAAACATCGATCAGCTGCCTCCTGCACACCTCCCACTGGGGATGTGCCCGCAACCCAGGCACATGCCCTTGACCGGAATCGAACCCAGGACCCTTCAGTCCGCAGGCCGACGCTCTATCCACTGAGCCAAACCGGTTTCGGCCACATTTCTCTGTTTTATTATTTTCTAAGCAATGTTATTTGAATCTTCTTGTTTATTGGTTTACTTATACTTTATTTGTCTCCCCTCATGATAATATAATTTCTGTAAGGACAGAGGTCTTTCCCATTTTGTTCACTGCTAAATTCCCAGTGCTAGAACAGTGTGTGGCCCTAGTAAGTAGATAATGAGCATTAAATATTCTTAAGTGAATGAATGAATTGAATTAAATGGAAACAGTCAATATTTTACATATCCATACTTTTACTGTTTGTCCTTTTAATTTAACCATAGTTTTTCATGGATTTAATTGTCTATTTCCCTCCCCCCCCCTCAACTAGCCATGTACACCTTCATGTGATCAGCCAGGATTTTGATTCTCCGTGCCTTAAAAACAAAAAACATTGGAATTCTTTTAATACAGAATACTTCCTAGAATCTCAAGGTAAATAGTATTCTTTGGTTTTCACAATTGTTTCATTTTCTCAGCTATTCTTATACTTGACTCAGTTATTTCCCTAAATAACAATCTGGTCTCAAAAACCCCTATTTAACTTTATATTCCCTATAAAGAGGGCCCCACTAAAATAACAATTATTTGAATTGTAGTGGGATTGTCACTTTGCTATGAGCAGCCATCTTTGGGGACCTAGAAAGCTATTATATCAGGGTCAGAAAGGCGTTTTATTATAATACCAGGGTACTTAAAAATTGTTCTGAGAATTATTAGAGTTCATAGATATGAAAGCTCTGAATAGTTCTATGTCTCTTCTGCCATCAGCTGAGCAGGAACATGGGTCTACCTCATGTTAGGAGTGGTTAATTAACAGGGGAAGGGCGTGTGTGCAGAGAAACATTTCCCAGTGTACATTCTGTGGAACTTAAGTATGCTGGGGGATTAACAGTGACAGCTGCCATCAACCAAGGGTCAATTAGTGGTAAAGCACTGTGATAAGACTCTGACATAGTAACAGGGATTGCTTAGAATGTATCTCAGTGGAATGTAATATCCAAAATAGGTTGCTCAGATTGAGAATTTGATCAAGCCCCTTTCCTCAGCAATGAGTCTAACCTCAAATTTACAGGATACCTGGAATATATTTATTTGGGGTTACATTTTTTTTTTCTTTGTATTGGCTTTCCAGAGTATCTGGGCTCTGAACTTTTTTTCCTTGCTTGCAGCTGTGATCAAGATGATACAAGAGGCTGGCAGAGTGACTGTCCGAGATGGTATGCCAGAGCTCTTGAAGCTGCCCCTGCGTTGTCATGAGTGCCAGCAGCTGCTGCCTTCCATTCCTCAGCTGAAAGAGCATCTCAGGAAGCACTGGCCCAAGTGATTGTGTGGAACCTGAACTTCTGCAGCAAGTATGGTGATTGTTTAGAGCAGACTCCTGGCACCTGTTGTGGATTGCCTGTGAACTTTTACTTATTTCTTAAATTAAAAATACAGGTGTTTTTTTTTTAAAACAAATTTTGTTCTATTCTTGAGTGGCAAAATGTGGGGGTGACTCAAAATAGGTCAGGAATTAGGAATTTGTGTTTGTCATGGATGTGTTCTCTGGTTGGGCGAGGGTGGCCGGGATAGGCCTGACCACTATCTCCAGGACCCACATCAGCTCTAATGGGAGCAAAGCCATGTTCAGACTTATCTAATGCAGGATATGGAAGTAGAGGGAAGATAATACCAGTATGTTTCTGTTCCTGGTACTTATCCTCCCTCCCGGAGGCACGAGGTGCCCTTTCTTCAGACCAGCTGGAGGGGTCTCTTGTATATCCTGAAGGCATTGATTGGTTTAGTTCTCTGATCTTTTTTAATTAAAAATTTTTTTTCAATTACAGTTTACTTCCAATATTATTTTGTATTACTTTCAGGCATACAGCATAGTGGTTAGACAATCATATACTTTACAGTGTTCCCCCTGATATTTCCAGTACTCAGCTGGCACCATCAGTTATTACAATATTACTGATTATATTTCCTATGCTGTATTTGTTCTCTGATCTTAATCTGTTCTGTAATATTCTTTCTCTTTCCCTTCTTCATGGAGAGGCTTAGATTCTTCTGTCCCTTTCATATTTTTCTATCCCAAACCATCCAAATACTGCCTTCTCAGGAAGTCTATCTCATAAGTTCTCCTTCACTCTGAGCAAACAGGCTAGGTGAGTGGGTGGAGGGATGGGGCTTTCTTCTAGTATCAGGTGCTCCTGGGTGGTGAGGAAATACTCAGCCATATGTTCATCACAGTTCAGTGAGCAAGTCTTCTTGCTGGCCTGCTTGAATCTGTTTGAAAATAAAGTTCATTTGTTTGAGGCATCTCTGCTAGGTAGTTGAAACTAACAGTTTAGCTAACAGTCACAAAGTAATTTCTAATACATGAAAAGATAGTTGTTTAATGAAAAAGTTGCATAGAACCCTATAGTGTCATTTTCCCCCTAGAACGGGTGGGCAACCTTTTTGTGAGTGCGTGCCAAACCCAGCAAAATCTCTGACTCAAAATTCTTCTCTGTGCCAACCCTAATTTTTTGAGAACATGTTACACCTATTTGATATCTCTTAAGGTGTCTGTATGTGAAGAACCTTGAAGAAACAATAAAATTCATTCGAGCGACAAAAACACAGTATATGATGATGAAAAATACATTTATTTTTTAATTTATACATGTACACTGATAGTCCCACAGCAAACTTTATGACTCCGTTTGATATTATCAGTGGGACTTTTGCTGCTGCATCACTGATGACAGAGATTTTACATCAGGTTTATATTTCGTGACCTTCAGAGATATGCACGAGCTACTACTTTCATCCGTCAGGCTACTCCTATTACGAGACTTAACAAAATTTATCACTGAGAACAAAGATTCACAAGCGTATGTGGATGAAACCAAAGCACTGGTCGGATATAGAAAGGCAGGGAGAGTTAAGGCAGAGGCATAGAAATTGCTCTTCCCCCCTCTCGTCAATCCATGTCCATGGTCTTTAAGATAAGTGTGTGTGTGTGTGTGTGTGTGTGTGTGTGTCTGTGTGTGTGTGTATTTAAATACATTTAATTTCAGAGAGGAAAGGAGAGGGAGAGAGAGATAGAAACATCAGTGATGAGGGAGAATCATTGATTGGCTGCCTCCTGCATGCCCCACACTGGGGGTTGAGCCCACAACTTGGCATGTGCCCTGACTGGGAATCAAACCCTGACCTCCTGGTTTATAGGTTGACACTCAACCACTGGGCTACACTGACTGGTCAGGGCACCATATTTTTCAAAGGGCCCCCAATGGCTTTGTGAGCTTGGTGATGGGTTTTGAGCTCAGCCAGGGGAATGAAACACTTCATCATCCAAGCAAACTGTTCATCCACCATGGACCATTTGTGGTGGTTGTTTTTGCTGGATGGATCATAATAGGGATTGCTTTTCTCAAACTGTGTGTGGTCTGGGTAAGCCTCCTTCACAATCTTCATAAGTCCTACAATGCCTGGCTCTTTGCAGTTGCTATAGTAGAAGGTTTCCTCCTCCCGCTTCATGGCTCTAAGGAGGTTCCAGGCCTGAGGGTTGCGAACCCATCCCAGCATGCTGTCTGCTTGGGCTCTGCTTTGAGATCCTCAATGTTGAACTTCTTTCTCTAGTCAGCTCTCTGGCTCTGACTTCATCAACCAGTAGCTGCTTAGATTCTCCCACATTTTTTAGAGCCTAAAGTCTTCTAAGGGCTGGAGTTCTCCACTTTAGTTATGCCTAATCTGAGTTCTTAGTCTTGGTGTGGTTTCCTGCTGCTCCCTTTGGTCTGGCCCAGCAGCCCCAGCCCGTCTCCTCCTGGGTCTCAGCAAGGTCTGAAGAGTGGAAGATTCTGGAATCTACTGAGAGATACAGATGGCAACTTTTTTTCTGCCCTTTGAAACCACTACTCAGACACAACCCCAGCCCCTAAAGTAATTTTTTTTTCTTTTGAAGCAAGCAAACGTATCCTCAAGATTTTATTGTCACATTATGAAATAAAATGTAAAGCTTAGAACTAGATCACTTGGCCCTTTGTCTTCTTCTCTTCTCCCAGATAAGATGCAATGCTTGTATCTCTTAACAGCCAGTGTTCTCTTAGATCTGCAGTTGGGCTCAATGCATTCAAACCTCAGCACAATCTCCTCTGTAGAATTAGCCTTTTTGTGGAAAATCAGCTTAGTCTGCTCACCATAACTACTCTGCTTCCTGTCATAATTCTGTTTTCCCTGCACATACAGATACTCCTTGCCCTTCTCATACTGTGTTACTCTATGGGTTGATGCTTGCCACACTTATTACAGAAAGTCTACCAGGTTTAGGAACATTTACCGTGGTTGCAAGAGCATTATCGGCATGGAAAGTCAAGTAAATTTTGAAAGAAATCTTCATCTGCACCACTTTATGCTGATTCTGAATTTTATATATATATATAAATATATTTTATTGATTTTTTACAGAGAGGAAGGGAGAGAGATAGAGAGTTAGAAACATTGATGAGAGAGAAACATCAATCAGCTGCCTCCTGCACATCTCCCACTGGGGATGTGCCCGCAACCCAGGTATATGCCCTTGACCGGAATCGAACCTGGGACCTCTCAGTCCGCAGGCTGATGCTCTATCCACTGAGCCAAACTGGTTTCGGCTGATTCTGAATTCTTGACATAGTCAAATCTGTTTTATTTCCATCTCTTAGTTCTGCTTTCGGTGTTGATCTCTTGAGAGGGCAGTAAAAAATAGCTACAGGCCGGAGAGAGAGAGAGAGAGAGAGAGAGAGAGACTTTCCCCCCTACCATTCCTTCCAAAGCACAGAAAGGACCTTAGCTCCTCTGCTTGGGTCACATACTGATCTCTGGACTAATCACTGTGTCTCTTAGGAGGATGGCATACTCTGGCTATCATGAGTAACAGGACCATCTTGTGGAGTGCCTTGGGACTGATGGCCTTACTGGAATACCTGGAGCAGGGATTGCTAGTTTGAAAAACAATTGATGTTATCACTCTGTGGACTGCATACCTCATCCCAACATGCTGGTAGCTCCCTTGGCCCCAGGCTGTTGTCCTGGGATCTAGGACTAAAAAGAAGGAAAACAGCCCTGGACTTCTGGCAGTTAGTAGTGAAAAGTCAGACCCCACCCCCAACCTGTACTCTTTCCCTTGGTTGGAGGAAAAACCAATATATTCAAATTGAATAATTGGTTACTGGCCAAGGGTCTTTTGGAGACACTTCTCCAGAAATTATAGGATGTACTTTTACAACTCTGGCTGGAGTCGCCAGGGCTCCTGGGGCACCTCCCTGTCCTGGCTCACCAGCAGACCACCAGCCTTTGCTGTTCTTTCCTTGGCTGCACTCTGGAGATAGGAGGCCAGGGCCAGGCAAAGGAAGGGGCATTAAGGGATGCCTGAAAAGCCAACTGAAGGTTGGACTCTTACCTACTGTTAGCATTTCCACTATCCTAAGTATTCCTAGAGAATTGCCCAGTGACTAGGGACTGTTACTTTTGTTTTCAAGAACCTGTAAAGGGGGCAAATATTTATGACAGAGAAAGGGGAAGAAATAGGTCAAATATTAAAATGTGATTCTTCCAGCTGGTCATGCATTAGGGAAGAGACCCAGGTATCTAAATTCCCCACCTGAGAAGCTGCTAGCCCATTTATCCCCTTCATGGGAATGAGAAAAGAGTGCCCCCTGCCTTGAAGGCAGAAGCTTTTAGACTACTGTCACCCTGGAGGCTAAGGCCCATGTAGGGCACAAATACACAACCTTACAGATTGGGGACCCTGTTTGTCACCATACCATGAGGTTCTCCAGAATAGATGCTGTTTCTTTTGTTCTCCATCATGTAGCCAATGAAATTCAGTGTACCTAGGACATAATAGGATCCAATAAAATTTTGTTGAGTGAATGAAACCTGTGTCATACTTGAGGAGCATAAAAAAACACACATAACTTTCTGGTGCAGCTGGATTTAACTCTCAAGTGTGTTGTCTGGTGGGGCTGCATCTGGCTTTTGGAAACATTTTGATAAACATCCTGCTACCACTGTTTACAGGCAAAGTATCTTACAGCTTAGAATTAGTGGAACATAAACATTTTCATATTTTCCCACATAATGCTCCAGATAATATTTTCCCATATAATATTCCAGATTATCACTTTTGCTAATAAACCAGGTGATTTGGAATATTGGTGTTTTCCATGATCTATTTTTTTTGTTTACTATCTTTGGCCACCAGATGGCAGCCTTTGAGCAATAAATTCTTAAATCTTTTTTATAATCCAAAACTTTTCTGGAAAGAAGTTTTATATAACTCTTTTATGTTTCAGAATCAGCGTTTCAAAATAAAATATACAAGCGTGGGTGTTTTTTTTTTTTTTTTAGGGACTGGTGGGAGTTTAACTGATTTCCAAATTAAGATAGAAGTTTGAGAGAAAACTAGGGTACAGGTTAAGAATACGATGGATAAGGGGATGTTGTTTGGCTTGCAGATTAAATAGACTAAAATTGGTGAGAGCCAGGTTGAGGCCTGATACTGGCATTTATAAGATGAGGGTCTTAAGGCATGTCAAATGCATGCTAGACATTGAAAATATGCTAGCTCATTCCCTTGTTTCTTAATTTGACCCCAAGGTTAGTAACTTTTGTTCCCATCACAAGTATACCTGGGAGTAGCACTGGGAGCAGACACTTCTCCTGGCCATATCCTTGAAAAGTGGCATCATTTTTATGTTGACATATTTGTTGTTAAGTCTCTCTGATGGTTTGATATTAGAGGAAGCACTGACGAATGATACACAGAGAAAGTAAAGGTTGTGCGTTCATTTTTCATGGGTCAACTCCCCTCTGTCT